AGGTCGAAAACCTTGACTTATGGGATAGAATAAAAAGATCGGTAGAGGATGTCAGATCACTGTTTGTTTGCTCTCTGTATCCCACTCACAACAAAGCAATTAATGTATGTTTAACAGAACCAACCATATATTGTTACTTTAATAATGGTTGGTTCTGCTAAACATAAATTTGCTTTGTTGCGCGTGGGACATAAAGTGCAAACAAATAGTGCGTAGACATCCTCTCAATAGTGTCATCAAGTTGAACAAAAAAATAAGAAAAGACGTCTGAAAAGAATACGTCTTTTATTAAATATATTAAATACGGAAGTATGATAGGAATAGAAAGTAATAAGAATTAACGGTAAAGATAGAACTTTGATGAAAAAATAAAACACAAAAATGTCCTGAAAAAAGTCAAAATTGCCTTTAAATCATTAAAAATTTGATGATTAGGTTATAACTATTAGTGCAGTCTTTTCCTCACTCTGAACATTTCCAACGTGTTCCATGTTTTTTGTGTAAGAGGTTGTGAACATTTATACGTTTTACTCACCATCCATGACTTACCATGCCACCACTGAGTGTTATCTTTTAGCTCGCTAGGCGTACACCTTCGTGACAACACGTCTGCTGCATTGTCGTTCGATGTCACATGCCCCCACTCCATGGCTGCTCGAATCCGCGGATATCCAATCTAATGCTACAGTCGAATCCGTCCATAAATATGGTCGTGATATATTCAGCTTAAGTGCAGATATAATTATGTCTATCAAACGCGACAAGAGAAACGCTGTACATAGCTCTAATCTGGGGATCGAAATAACCTTTACTGGTGCGAAACGAGACTTACCACATACTCAAAGACGGACATCGGGGGGGGGGGGACTTTGTAACAATATTTAACCCACCAATATTACCGGACTAAGTGCCGGACTTAGCCTAATGGGTCAAATAACGTTGCTAGGCCGGCAAGCATATATCTTTTTGTTGTTTCAGTTTTTACTTAGGTACTTGTACGGCGTACGCGTGAAGTAATCACTTTTTGGTTTCCAGTATAAACCTAGAGTTTTCACGCTTTCTCTA